TATATATATATATATATATATATATATATATATATATATATATTATATACTGATAACACTGGTAAAACTGTATGCATTCGGTAAATTTGTGACATATTTAGCTAGGTAGCTAGTTTTATGATATAATGATAAATTAATACAGGCTATATTAGATATTTCGTATCTTATAATGTAATGGCCTAGTAGGGTAGGTATAAGTACGCATGCTATTGTGCTTTGTGTAGGATCGATTTTTAACCTTCATTCACGGTTATGACAGCGAGCACTTTATGTTGGCTCGAACCTAACCCTGTGCTGCAATGTTTTTGTCTGACATTTCTACGCCACATTATTATCAAGGGCTAATAAATACCTAGAGTGTACAACGGGAAAACGGGAAAATAGTGCTATTTCACGGCAATATTATTCTACTTTGTATGCGGTTCTAGACTAAGTTCATGGTATTGCGTTAAGCAGCATTCTTTGCTCTCTAAAATAAGACCAACCGCTTGTCTCTACGATACTCCTAGGCCGAGATATTGGAGCGTAATCGTGCCTCCCACAGGCCGCACGCCGCCTCGCATCCACATTATTCACTATCCTTCTCGCCTTTTGCGGGTCTGACTATCGTTTTCCGTCGCCGCTTGGAGCGCTGATAATTGATGTCACATGCCCAAATTTGGTACTCTTACTACACCATATAGTAACTGAGCTGCGTTGTAAAGAATTAATTTAGAAAACATTGCCGGCTCCATCATGACGGGCATTAGCCGTGCTAGGAAAGATAATGGGAGATAAGGGCATAGGCGATGCCCCGAAAGTCATCGATGATAACCGAAACGCCGTTCATTCATAAAGTTATCGCGGAAAAAAAAACTCTCACGAAGCGACTTTGCTAACCCGCAAAAGGCGAGAAGGATAGTGAATATTGTGGATGCGAGGCGCCGTGAGGCCTGTGGGAGGGGAAGTTTACGAGCCAATATCTCAGCCTAGGCGTATCGTATTGACAAGCGGTTGGTCTTGTTTTAGAGAGCAAAGAATTCTGCTTAATGCAATACCATAAAATTATTCTAGACTATGTAGAATAATATTGCCGTGAAATAGCACTATTTTCACGTTTTTCCGTAGTACACTCTAGTCTAGGTATTTATTAGCTCTTGTTATTATCCATATCTATATAAAACAAACAACAAAATTCATCACACTTTTTCTCGATTCCGGCACGTGTGTTTGCAATGTCACAAACGCTTTATCTAATTGAATGTAATAAAAAATTGATCGTGCATAACATTGATTCATTGACGCAAGTCGTACACGTGCACTTGGTTATTTTCTGAAAGTATTCATAATACCTTTATTTGGAGTCATAGTTAAGAACTAATACACAATACCATGGTCATTACCGAATTCTTGAATAAACAAAGAACCAGTCTATTTAATAGACTCTATATAAGTTCAAACAGTCAGCAGTTACATGTACAAGTTACATTCAATGACATTCCGGAAAATTGTTACATAGTTTTGATGACGTCATTCTATCATAAGTAGAATGATAGCGTTCATTCACCTATGAATAAACTGGGTATGAAGTACGTGCAGGAGTTATCTATACGTATAACTATGTATGGGTTCAATAAACTCTACCACGCGATAATTGAAAGCCGCTGTCAACACACCTACACTCGACATAAAATAATAGCGAAGGATTAGACAAGTCGGTCGTAACAGGTACATATAACAACAGCCTCTACTCAATTACCACCAAAGATCCTATAATTTACATAGGCCTTAAATTATAGGCGCTTTACCACTACTACTGCATCTCTTAGCCATCTTGTCTACCGTAGTGTTATCCTTGCGTTATCACTCACCATTCAACATAGAATCAATTAAGCTATAAAACCCAAACTCTGAGACGAGCGAGCTAGAGCAAGTTCAATTTTATCACGGTTAGCATATAACATAGAAATAATACACCAAAAACGAAACCAGTCGATAACATACTATAATAAATAGGTGCAGCCTATCTATACATTTCTATAGTATAGACTATACACGTCTACTGCCATTATGGTAATGACATTAAACCAATTTTTGTGCGAGTACTAGGGAGCTGGAATGCTATACCGGAGCGCGTTTTCTTGCTTTAGATTTTTTCGTCTGCGAAACATACCGTACAAAGCACATGCGCGAATGCGATTTTTTTTTAATTCTCTTCGTGATTAGAGATCGACACGATTACAGTTGACCAGCTCGGAATAAAGTGTTTTATTAAGTATTTTAATCGCGGATAAGAGCTGTGAGTGAAAATGAGTCTCGTTAACGTTATAGCACTCCTAGGAATAATCGGTGCATTTCGTCGCGTGATTTTATTCGTGGTTAAACTACAGAAGACCGGGGCATTGTGGCCCGCCATAATTACCGTGTGGGGTCGTCGTTAACTAGAAATGAGGTTCGCCGCTTTCGCGCGGGTTTTCAAGATCTGTGCCGCAGAAGTACAGAAGGTCTGACGTAACAGAAAAAATGCATTGAAAATTCGCAGCCACGCAGGACGCGCAACAAAAGATTGGTTTAATGCACGACACCTGTTGCTGTGCTTTAAATGCAGCGCGATAGTAAATATAGAGAATTTATATGCGCATAACGGATAAATAGTAGTTCTCACACGCAATGACTGACACGTAAGGCAACGGGAGAATACAAAGGGAAAGACTTCTCGTACAGGCATTTCCTCTTATTTGCGATACGTGTAACACTGAGGTGGCTGACTATCGGCTGTAAAACTACAGGCGTCACTGCTTTATCGGGACAGGTAACTACAAAAATTTCCCGATTAAGCGGCTAACACATAACAACATGTATAAAGATTTTTTTTAAGACATGTCGATTATGTTTTATCCGATAGGCGTTTATCCGAGATCCGATAACGCGGGAAAACTGTATTCAACTGTGATTTTAAACTGCATGTTAACCGACAATATCAGCAAATCATAAAAAATTCATGCGGTTTCAATGAATCAATACGCACAAAAACAGCGTTGAATATATAAATTCATCAACATGAATGGGTCATAAGCCAAATTTGCAGTCTTCGTCTTAACTGACAAAAACAATCATAAGACATTGACGCGCCACCTTGCGGCCAGTTTTAGCCAAAATCATTCATTATATCAGGAGTAAATTATCACACGTGTTTTAAATCCCGATTATATGCAGTCATGCGTACTTTACTTCTAGCATACGTGAAATACAATGATTCCATTTTCACCAAGAGTAGATAATAACACATTAGTGTTATTATCTACTCTTGATTTTCACAGTACGTGACCATGCACGCCAGATTTTTACATCGGAATCGCTCTCTGTATGTGCGAACAAGCTATGCTGGGACCACTGCAAGAACAACTGTTGTCGATGAAAGGAACTTAATTTTAGAGAGAAACAAAATGTACAACAATAGTACCAGAGGTTAAGCAGATGTTCAATTGTTCCATATCTTGTATCCCTAGGGGAATAGATTATTGTCTGTTGGGCAGAATGGAATCAGATGTTCACTTGTCTTGTTTGTGTCGCCAGATTTGTGACACGCCTGGTTCTTAAATTATCGACTGAGTTGCTAGAAGCGGGGTCGCAGACGTTCAGTTGTTGTACCTATGATGCCTGGAAGCAGGTATTCACTTATCTTGTTTGTGTCGCCAGGTTCTTAAATTATCGACTGCGTTGGTAGGAGAGAGGTCGCAGACGTTCAGTTGTTGTACCTCTGGTGCCTGGCCGCTGTGAGTTGTTTTCGCACGACTCGTGGGCTGAGGAGTGGCGCCAGATTCTTGGATAATGGCGATCCCCTGAACACAGCATGCGGCATCATTTGCGGAGATACCCCAACTGCTGGGGAGTATGCCATCTACAGAGGGAAAAACAGTAAACCATACTCAAATGCCAGATGCACTCGTTCAATTTTAATTGACATAAAGATGTTTTATAAACATGACTATTTCAACCCTTTGCCGTCTACAGTACTTATATAAAAGTTAACACCGTACGGAATTAATATTTAATTGATACAGAGACGTTATTTTACAATGACCAATTCGATTCTTTGCCATACACTGTTATGCTGGCCACATCTTCTAGTTTTTCTCACAAGAGAGACGGACTTACCGGCGGAAGATTCTCGTTGTTGCTCTCCAGGAAGCCACGTTTAGGTGTGGCCATTCCTAACTCCACGCCCCGCACTCGCTGGGCAAACGAGAGGCTGTTGACAGTTTCGGATGAGTTCTTTTTGACAGGAGCAATCTGAACCATCATCACAACCTTGCTATCTCCACCTATAATAAATAAAACGGAATGAGTATCACCACCTTCCTATTGCTACATATATTAAACAAACAAACATCACCACCTTGCTACCTGCACCTATGGTAAACAAGCAAACAAACAAACTTCACCACTCTGCTGCTATGCCCTATAACACATAAACATACATTACCGCCTTCCTGTTTTACCAACAGCACACCGCCAACATCACAGAACAATCCTTAACTAACCAACCAAGCTGCCGTCTCCTACATCACCCACATACATACATCGAGTCAACCTGCTGCTTACAAGCTCCCACAACTACCCACCACTAAGCCTCCATGCTAGCCACCGCTAAACAACATCACAAACCACAACCGAGAGTGCCGGCATGCTGCGACCGTTCGTGCCATTGCACCCGCAGATGCTTGACAGCACACGCAGACGACAGTGCACGCACCCAGGCTATCCTGCAGTAGGTAGGTGAGACGCGAGTTCCTGTAGGGAACGTGCTCTGACTTGTTGCGCAGGGCCTGTATGACGTCGCCGAGGGCCGACAGAGAGCGGTTGATGTTCTGCGCTTCCTTCAGGCGCTCGCCAGCGGAAGCAGACTTCGTCAGCCTCTCGGAGCCGGCCAGGTCAATCAAGTTCAATTTACCTGCGCGGTAGAAGAGTTACTATGTTATATAATACGACACAAGTAGTTTTAACTTACCTGTGCGGTAAACGAGTAACTGTATTATATGATACGACGCGATTGGATTTATCTTACCTGCACACTAGAATTACTTTGTAATAAGACACAACCAGGTTTAACTTACCTGCACAATAGAAGAACTACTGTATTATAATATGACACAAGCAGTTTTATCTTACCTGCACAGCAGAAGAATTACTGTGTTATAATATGACACAACCAGGTTTTACTTATATACCTGCGCAGTAGAAGAATCACTGTGCTACAGTACAATTTGGATTTTCATCAGGATTATAACACGATAACATGTTATTTGTAACTCACTCCTGATTTCATCTATTACACTAAAAATAGTATAAATATATGCAAAATATATAAATAGATACGTAAGAATCAGTGAAAAAATTAATTTTTCTTTCCGGGGCTCTTTTGGCAAACCCCCCAAAATTTCGGGGGCAACTTTTTCATTTTCCAGGGCTCTTTTCCACTTTCCAGGGCGACTTTTTCCAGGGCTGTTTCCTCAAATGTACACACAAGCACAGTAGCTAATACACACTCGCGGGGGCGCGCACACACCACACACACGCACGCACACACACAAATCACAACCACAAATGCACCTTGAATAGTGAATACATCACAGGTTCAGCTAAACACAGAACTATTACGGCTAGCGCAAATAGTGGAGTGTCTGCCTGTACGAGCGAGGAGGATCGATTGTTTATACGCGAAGCCTCTTGCGGCTGAGGTCCTGGGCCCGCGTAAGGGCCCTGGAAGCTCAGGGGGTTTGAGAAAGCGGCCCGCGAGACACGTGTGTATGGCTGTGCACATCGACGCTGCGTACGTGCCTGCTGGCAGGGTCGGCATTGATTGAAGTACGGGGGGGGGGGCACGATTGTTTCAGCGTGGTACTAATCACTACTAAAATGTAGCGGGTTGGCATTGCTGGACTATGAGAGAGCGACAGCAAAACTCTTTCGGGGAATTGACGAAAAAGCTACAATTGGGAATGACACACGAGTGTGCCGGCATGGGAAAATATACGTGTGAATTTCATTAGGATTTTCCATGGATTACCGTTCTATAATCCTACGGGTCGTTGGGCACACCCGCACGCACGCATGCAGGCACGCACGCGCGCAAGCACGCGCGCAGGCACGCACGCACGCGCACACATGCACGCGCGCAGGCACACACGCAAGCACGCCCTCTGGCACACCGGCACACACGCACGCACGCCCGCAGGCACACACGCACACACAGGCACGCACGCACGCACGCACGCGCGCAGACACACACGCACACACAGGCACGCACGCACGCACGCACGCGCGCAGACACACACACAAGCACGCGCACAGACACAAACGCATATACGCGCGGGCGGCGGCGCGCGCTTGATTGAATGCAATACAGTACATGCAGTACACACATGCATGCTTAAATGGTAAACACTTGGGTTAGCCGCTAGCTTTGTCAGCAGGTGGCGCAGCGGGAGTTAGAGGTGTTACAACGATTGCGCAATCAACCGGTCAGTTGGAAAGATACAGGAATCACGAATAGCCGATCGTATCGTCATAGCGATATAACCAAGTTAAAATGCCTTCGTAAAGTCTGCAGCGATCACTTCAGAGAGGGCGACTATACTAGCACACACTCTTTAAGCGAAGTGTAATATCGAAAATAGCTTTATAAACTGAGTTATTAGCCCTCATTTTGACTTTGAGTTCGCAGTAGTTTTCTTGCGTATTCCATGCAGTCTAAGATATAAAACAACTGTTAGTCGTTTTCATTTGACAGCATTTATCGCTACAAGAGGCAGTATAATTATAACACGACAATGCCAGTGGGCAACGCTCAGCCCTGGTAATTGGTAAATAAAATCCGAGGCCCAGGTGTCCTCTAGTTACGAGGTACTTGCTATATTTTCGTTATGCACGCACTAGCTATCAACCGTGAATCCTCAATAAACATAGTGCATAAATCTCCTTCAGCAGCACACGAAAAATAATCATCACAACCAATTCACATATGGACGATGCACACACGTATGCGCATGCACGACACGCACGCACACTACCGTCGTGTCTCCTCTCTCTGCTTCGCTCACTCTCTCCTCTCTTTCTATCTATCTATCTCGCCTCCCTCGTCGTCGTCTCTCTCTCTCGGTCTCTCTCTCTTTCTCCCTCTCTCGGTCGACGGCTGTTCCTGGTTCCCTCACGCAACGCTTTTACGTGCGCACATATGTACGTGCAACAACACCTACGCAGCGCTAACGCACCCATACTCTACACGCTTGCACGTGGCACGACGCACTGCCACGGCAACGCATCGGTTTTTCACGCAACGCTCCACGCACTCGTACGCACGCACGCTCATGCACACACGTGTACACCTCCATGCATCCACGTCCACGCATGCACGTACATGTTGACCACACCAGCACGCACGCACACATCTTCTCGTGCACGTTTCTTATCACGGTGCTCGCGCTCTATCATTCTCGCTCGTCATCGCGCAAGCGCATGCACGCATGTGTAGGTCACACATGGCACGGACTCGCTTCACAGCATTCAATCACGTTAACGTGCTACACGCACGCGCCCGCACGTACATACGCACGCCTCCTCTCTACTCTTTCTCCGCATGCACGCTAACCTGTACGTGCATACGCACGCACTGCAGCACACCACGTACGCATGCACGCACAGGTACGCTACAACACGCACGGGCACGCACGGCAATGCACCCGCAGCGAGTACGTGCAACACCGCAGCGAACGGGCACATGTATCGTTGGCACACCGCACCGCACACACGTGTACCTGCAACACGCACGCAATGCACGTACTACCTTGTATGAATCCAGAACCACATGCACCGCACACTACGCTATCGCATGTCCCGCATGTGTGCCGCTAATACACGCACTCGTCTCTACTGCCAATCCTATACCGTGTCTATGTGCCTATTCAGCCTGCACACGAGCTACGCCATAACGATCTATAACGCTTAGTATGCGCTCGCAAACTCGCGTCTACTTAGCTTTCTCTCTTACCTAGCCGTTCTACTCCTTCGTCTCCTCTCTCAACCTCACACTTATACGTCTCCCTCACTCCTTCTCTCTTTCTATCTTACTGGCACGCGTCAACTATCTTCTCCTCCCACCTCTCTCTCGCGTCGGACATAAACGGCACGCATGTGTACGTTCACCACGCACGCACAGCACCTCACATTCAGCCGTCCCACGCTATCTCTCTGCACGCACCAAACGTCTCTCGGTCATCTCCTCTCACGCTATCCAACGCACTTGTACGTGCACACGCACGCCATACCGACAACCACAGATGGAACGTGCAACGACCCCTACTCTGCACGCGATGTATACCTTGTCAGCAGCGAATATAGGTGGTGTAACGACAAGTAGGGGCTGCTTCTCAGGTCATACATGTACCCCCTAGCATACGTACATGAATCTCACACTATATACAAATATACATATAAGCTCTCTCTGCACAGCACGCAAAAGAATGTACACACCAACCTCCATTCTCCGCCCACTTCTACTCCCCCGGGTGTGCATATGGGCTACGTTCCGAGTGAATCTTCACCCTCTGGCAGATGTGCTGCCTCCCACATCTCACGGAGTGAACCTGTTTTCTGAGGCGTCTAATGCCTCCCGCCAACGACCTATTCCATAACTACACACACAGCGGCCAGTGGAACCGGCTGCCGCTGTAGCGGCAGGAGGCCCGGAGAGGCGGCAAGGACGGCGGGACCGGCTGCATCGATTTCGCAGGGCGAACCCCAAACAGCATTTGGCGGTCGCCCCGCCGATATCATGTTCTTCGGGGGCTCTTTTTGGCCATTATCGGGGGCCGAAATCGCCCAGCGCGCCACGTGTATTTTTTCCATCCCATGTGGTAAGAATACGACTGGGAGCAAGCCTCTCTCACCTGTGCAGGTAAAGCTCCGGTCGTCGCATGTACACCTGTAACATGGATGCAGAGCAAGGCGTGCGAGCGCGACAATGGCTCCGTTCATGCTTGTCGCCGGCCGTCGCTCGGACTAGCGACCTAGCGAGAATACCTGCGGAAGACAACGGAACAGTCAACAGCAGGCGGACAGGGGGTAAATTCTTTTCTAATTAATTCTTTATAAATTATAAAAATAATAATATGATATACATATAATATATATATATATCATAAGTATATATTTTGAGTACGTATGTATTGTATATGTTGTATGTTTATTAGCGCTATGTATGTATGTATGTAAATGTATGTTTAAATGGCCCCGGGGCGCATGCATGCTATGCATGCATGCATGGCATTGGCATGTAATGTATAGTATCTTCCCTATAGGCGGCCAAACCGCCCAAGCGATCTGGATGCAATTTTCACTGTTATACCCGGGGAGTGTTCCTAGATGAAAAAAACCTGTCAAACCCTGAAACTCACCGAAAAATCCGTGGAAAACCCGTTAATTCGTCAATCTTCACACAATTCTGCCACAGTGCTGCCACACACAGAAAAATCGATTCCCTCGCCTCATCCGGCTGCTGGTATTATGAAACCGAAACCAAGCACCGAGCTAAAACACAGCACAGCCAGTTCAGAGGTTACGACTGCATTGTTTATCAACAGGCTTTGAAATGAGAAGTGCAACCCATTCGTACATGCTGTTACGTGCCGTACGTGCCATACGTGCACGCCGTACGTGGGGAGCTCAACAGTTCGAGGCGCCAGGAATCTTTACATATTTCCACCAGAGAATAACACGAAAAACATTGTTTATCAAGAGGTTTTCAAATGAAAAGTGCAACCCATTCGTACATGCTGTTATAATAACTTTTTGTCATTTACACCATATTACTATTATGTTCCAGGGGTTCTAAGTTGGGTTGTGCTGTCATACGTAACAGTTTTTTCCCATGCTTATTATCTTATTAGACTGATTTCTAAATATTCATATTGTGTGCAATGTTATTGTCGATTTTTACCCAATGTTCCTATTGTGTCCCATTATTAGTAGTATGAATTAGTAGCACGATTTTACCCAGCGCAGCGGGTACCCGCAGCTAGTAAAATATAAAATATAAATTATAAGTTTTCCAATAAAGATGAACACAGTGCAATTACGGGGAGTGACTGCCAGACGTGCAAATATTATTATGTTCTGAAGGTGCACAGCTCCTAGTCAATGTGCATAGAGAGGCGGGAGTGTGTAAGAGGGGCAGGTTTCATAGATATATTATGATCTACACTTATTTTAGGATTATATACATTTATTAAACCTTCATTTTATTTTTCCCTATTTTAAACCTAAACTGGTATTAACCCCTCAGAGGCTACGGCCCTGAGATTTTCCAGTATAAGGTACTGTGTGAAGCGTAGAGTATTTGGTCTGCACGTACCGCGTTCACTTCCTCCAGTGAATGAACGTTCACAGTGCAGAGTCCAGGAACGTGGAGACCAGAGCCATCCGGCATCATCTTAATCTCGAGCTTGCACGACGAGTTCTTAGCTAGAAGATCTCTGCACAGACGACGACAAGGGTAAAACAGCTGCACTGTGCGCATGGCGTTGTTCTTATGTATGTTCATAAACGGACAGAAACTGGGCTTGCAAAGATGCGTACAGGAAAAAGTGTGAGGAAGAGAGCAAAGTGGAGAGAGAGAGAGGGGGGAGGGAGAAAGAGAAAGCAGACGAGTAAGCAGGAGCGAGACAAAGAGAGAGATGGAGGGAGGGAGGAAGGGAGAGAGAGAGAGAGAGAGAAAGAGAGAGAGAGAGAGAGAGAGAGAGAGAG